CGATAAGATGCAGGACATCGAGAGCTTCAAAACAAGCTAAGGTGGGAAGTATTTGGATCACAGGAAGCCGGAATAGCCTTTACAGTTGGGAAATTTTACTGTGCCACATCATGGATTAGAAGTTAATTAACAAATCGTAGATCGATTTTGCGAAACGTAATGCTGTGGAACCGTCGCTTCCGGATGCTACGATCGTCGCAAAACATGGAATAAATATGGCAACCCTAATGTCTATTAATTTGCTGATCTCGATTCAGCTAAAAAAAAAATAAACCTATATGATAATTCAGTATACAATCCACCTAATAATTCTCCTAGCCAGATACCGGAGATATAATAGGACTCATCATTGGTGAGGTTTTTCTTTCGTATCTTCCATCATGATAATAATAACCTCCATCATATCCATCGTATCCATTATATCCATCCAATCATCTGGCATCTCTTCTTCAGAATCATTGTCATGACTACAGTCATTATCATCATCTACCCTATCTGATTGCGAAACAACCTCTTCATTCGTTTCTTTCACCGACTGAGATGTGGGATCATGATCAAATTCATCATCAAAATATACATCTTCGTATTCCTCAGCTCTTACTCTTATAAGGGTAAATAAAACGTTTATCACAAATACAACAGATAGTCTCGCTTTCTGTGATTTTGAAAGATGATGCTAAGTCAATAAACTTTATTGATAGAATGGATTGCATGTGCCTTTTGTTTCTATTCTTTTTACAGCTTATTATTCAACCAAAAACTTAATATATTCCGATGTGAGCAAAACAAATACTTTTATTAAATTAGATTATTATAAGCTATGCACAATGACAATTATAAACTACAGTAGAAATTTATGTCATAAAACGTTTTTCAACAAGTCATCATATGTAATAACCATCAATGCATCATACTTCAAACTTTGGTTTTTCGCTTTTTTTTTGGTTTATTAGGTGTACGGGGCTCCTTTGCCTCAATTATTGTTACTTTTCCGGTAAGGAATTTTTCTTTCTCGGCTCTTTCCATAATGCGCTTGAATCGAGAAACTGTGAAACGCAACAATTTCTGCATGTCATAAGATGAAGAAAGTGAGTGTAAAATCTTAAGTCTGAATTGGGATGGGATGTTACCAACCTTAATTTGCAACATAATGCGTGCAATTTTAGTTAGCTTCCAAATTTCATCATACGAAGTAGGAATATCAAACTTTCCCAATTCAAATGATGTGTAGAATCCGCCTCCTACATATATTATAAGGACAGCACGAAGGTAGAACCACGATGATGCGAAACCGGGCATAATTAATTTATTGCACGCATTTAAAACTTGTTTTGAAAGTGCTCCTCCACTTTCGATAGCAATTGCTTTGACTAGGCTTCTATGCATGTCTCTAAGTGTTTTTAAGACCTTAAGAATGTCTGAAAAATTCTTGGTGTCGTTATCTACTTTAGAGCCTGCACGCTCACATAGGGAGAATTCTCGGCCATATGATATATCTTTTCCAAGATCATGTCTCTATATATAGGAATCTGTTAGTAACCAAACAAAAATATGAAAACTTCATAAAGATATTATACCGTGAACATCCAGTCTAGGTGAAACCCTTCAACTTTATCTGGGGCATCTGTTGCTTCACTTCGTCGATCTCGAGATGACCTAGAAACCATCTCTCCACTTATATGAAAAATAATCAGTATTATCAATAATGAAAAGTACTTAGGGACATAATACAACATACAAATGTGTATCTAGAATATCGTCGAAACAAGCGAAAATGTGTCTTTTGATGAACATATCTATGTCCCTTTCGGAGTTTTTTCGTTGCGGAATTCCTTTGTCTAACATTTCACACCTGATTGTAAAGAAGTGAAGTATTAGAAGCCGTGTATGCATCCAAGCTGAAATTTAACAAATAAACTCACGTGTAACGAACTAATTCTAAGATGTATCCCGCCTCTTTATCAAGATAGTCATTCTCTTCAAGAACGAATGATAGTGTTTTGTTATTTGTGGGTTCGTCATCAAACAAATCAGGTTCTTCTATGTTCAATTCTTCGATATTTTGGATTATTTTCCGAAGTTTACAAACTGCCCCATGTATTCCTTCATACTTAACCATTTCACCTAGAAACGAAATTATGCTAATTAAGATTATCATATAAAAGATCGAGATGCTTCAATGTCAAAAACTACCTTGCCAAGGGATTGCAAACATCTTTCAGCGACAGGCTCTAACACTGTCCAATCATTCTGATGACCAATATTAAGAACATTTGAAAATATGGCATTAAGTTCCGAAAATTCTTCTTCGGATATGAAATCCTGTACAATTTTCGGATCTGATGCGTCTATGATTCGCCACCAAATTGGTCTAAATAACGAAATTGATTAGGACCTGCACAAATAAAAAGGAAAAGTATTCATTAAGCACTTACTGTTTTGCTAGTTCGAATTTTTCTGAAGGATCTGTCTGCGCGGTTGTTAAAGTTTTGTGTCGATCCATCGCTTTTTTTAACCAGCTTGGCATCGGTGTATCGAATTCCCAGCCTGACAAAGGTTCCACGTCGACAACTTCAGAATCATCGGAAATTTCAATTCTATCATTTTCGCTGGAGTCAACATATTCATCAAAGGAAACGTTAAACGTTTTGGCCTGTATAGTATTACAAAAAAATGATATAAGTCATCTGTACAGAGTTCACAAAACGTGTGTAAACTATACTTGCTTTTTTCGTATCCGAAGTTATAGTTTCATCTTCTCTAGTTCGTTTTCTCTGGTCTTCTAACAGTTGCTCCCCGACATGTTCATTCTCGTTTGAATACATCGTATATGTTTTTTCGCGACGACTACTTGAATCTGCATCTGTCATATGTTGATGCATGGTACAATTAAATATCAATAGAATTGATCAAAGTAAAAGCACAAAGGTTCTGTAGCTTACTTTAAATCTTTCTTCGAAGACACGAGACCAATCGGGCTCATCTACAACTACCTAATGTTTCAAATAAAAAAATAATTACTCTATGCTTTCTAATGAATAGCTTATCGAGTCGGCTTGCAAGATTCGCAATAATGTGGCTGAGGACGACACCTATACTCGCAGTCAGGGCGAAACTTGACTGAAGCTTCGACATTATCACTAGGGAGAGGGACGACACCTATACTCGCAATCAGGGCGAAACTTAACGCGAGTTCCCTAAAAAACGAAAAAGAGGGTTGAAGATAGAATACTTTCCTTAATTTTCAATATATCCGCAGCCGTGACAAAACGCTTATTCCACGTGCCATTCAGTTTCTCATTTGTTTTTGGACTTGATCTAGCTATGAAATTAATGTTCAAGCTAACAAATTCCGATAAAATTGGTACGTGGTTGTTTTCTGATACCCGTTGGAAGTACGACTTAAGGACTAAAGTTACACTAGTGAGTATATATAGGGAGTCGCGTCTTTTCGCTTCAGAAGTACTTACCATCAAAACCATATGGATAGCTGATCGCCATTGTTGTCACTCGTTCGTTCTTTTGATTTTTTTTTGGGTAAGAACGCAAATACCGATAGATTAATATATTCAAACTAAATGACGTAATTCTGACAAAGTATTACGTTACACAAATTATTTTACGAAATAAAACCCATATGTTTATTAATTTTTCGAAGTGACATATGCTAGAGAAGCAAATGAAATAAATGAAATGTATGATGCTACCAAAGAGGGAGGGAGTATGCGGATCCTAGGCATCAAGTTATTTCTTTGCTCTCTCAGATTTACATAAAATATCTATAGCTAATAAAATTATTTCTGTATATCTAACTACGAGATTCTCGTCCCCATACTCTTTTACTACACCAGATTTCCGAAATAAATTATATAAATTATCCCAAACATATTTACAGAATTTTTGTCTATTTATATCAGGCCATGTAATAGATTATTTCCCACAAGAGAGATGAAATAATTTCGGAAGAATTCTTGAGATTAGCAAGGAGGTAAAAAGGTGAGGATTCCGATTCACACTTACCGCTATACTTCATTTTCATAATGTTCCACACTGCCTCATATTCAATGAATCTGTTGCTTAAGAACAGGGAAAATTGGTTGCTTATAATTTTATTGCCGGAAAATTCGATATACTGCGCACTGTATATCGAAAATCTGGTGACACTGATTAGACACGTGATGGCGATCACGATTTTCTCGGCGAATATCAAATGTACAAGAAAGATAATATGTCCGCTTTATCTTTGAGCATCTATAAAGCCGGAAAAATCGATTAACATCATAGTGATGTTCTTCTAGAAGCTAGCCGAGCAATAAAGCCAACCTACCTTGATATTAATTTGTGGAATATGCTTGTTTGTTTGATTAATGATATTGGTGATGTAAATAATGGTAAGTTTGAATGTTTCGCTTATTTTTTCGTTTTTTTATTCGCATAAGGTGGATAAATGGATTCACTAACTGGGATATTACCTTTTTATATAATTCGCAGGATCGATTTTGGAATACATTTTTGGGGGGATTACGTTAATAGGATCGCATCACGAAAATCTGATCAACGGATTCATAATAAAAACTTTGACACTACCCATATACAAAGATCAACAAGGAGGTCTTCTTTGTTGTGAAACTTTGAGAATATGCGGGAAAGTTTGAGAAATTTCGCGGCCCTTTAGAAGATGTTCCAAGTGTATTAATACAGGAATTCATCGATAGGGGAGTAAAAATGTTTTACTTTACCGAAGAGGGACTACCATTATTTCTGAAGGTCTCTCCTCAACAATTGCATGAAATTTTCGTCAAAAATCCAGCTAGCACCGGTCAGTGCCCATGTCTAGAATAGGTGACTTGCCTATGTAGACTACGCCAATCGAAATGTTGTCTATAGCAGATTCTGATGTCCGATGCAGTATCTGGAATTTCAGATAAATTGGAACTTCCAGAAGAAGAGTTAGAAAAATACGTCCGACCCCGACCAATTTTTTTTAAATATCGGGTGGCGGTATCCAGATTAATATATTTTATTTTAAGATATAATCCAATTTCCTTG